TCCATTCTAAACCAGAAATGCTCTGAAGAAGTAAAACCCCCAGAAGTGATATCAAGCAGATTCTCAGGGTTCGACCCACAGGCACCTGTGTTGCAGGGAGTTTGGGAACCTGAGGATAAAGTAGAAGGACACATGTGGGATTCTGTTGGGCAGAGTTTCAAGAAACTTCATCTTCACAAGAGAGTTTTTAGTAAAGAAACTGCCATGTGCAGGGAAAGGTCTCCAGGAGAAAGAACCCAGGAAGGTGGTACGTTTGATGGAAACTTGAATCTGAATCAAAGTGCTGTTAGACGTCAAAAAAATAAAACAGGAGAGAGAGCTTTTACATGTGAAACATGCAGTAAAACCTTCAAATACAATTCAGACCTAACTAGACATCAGAGAAGTCATACCGGGGAAAAACCTTATAAATGTGGTCAGTGTGGGCGAGCCTTTGCTCTCAGCTCAGGCCTAATTTTGCACCATCAAGTTCACACTGGAAGTAAACCATTTAAATGTAATGAATGTGGGAAGACTTTTCGTCTCAACTCCCACCTAGTTCTCCATCGGAGACTTCATACTGGAGAAAAACCTTTCAGGTGTAGTGAATGTGGGAAGGCCTTCAGTCGTAGTTCAAGTCTTATTCAACATCGAGTCATTCACACAGGAGAGAAACCGTACAAATGCAATGAATGTGGAAAAGGCTTCAGCCAGAGCCCACAGTTAACACAGCATCAGAGAATCCACACTGGCGAGAGACCTCATGGGTGTGACCAGTGTGGGAAGGCCTTCAGTCGAAGTTCAAGCCTAATTCAGCACCAGAGGATCCACACTGGAGAGAAGCCCCATGTTTGTGACCAGTGTGGGAAGGCCTTCAGTCAGAGCTCAAGCCTTTTTCTCCACCACAGGGTGCACACTGGAGAGAAGCCCTATGTTTGTAATGAGTGTGGCAAAGCCTTTGGTTTTAACTCTCACCTCACTGAACATGTAAGGATTCACACGGGAGAGAAGCCCTATATTTGTAATGAGTGCGGCAAAGCCTTTAGCCGGAGTTCAACTCTTGTTCAGCATCGAAGAGTTCACACTGGGGAGAAGCCTTACCAGTGCATTGAATGTGGGAAAGCCTTCAGTCAGAGCTCACAACTTGCCCTACACCGAAGAGTTCATACTGGAGAGAAGCCCTATGAGTGTAGTGATTGTGGGAAAGCCTTTAGCCGGAGGTCAACCCTTACTCAGCATCAAAGAGTTCATAATGGAGGGAGTTCTCATGCCCACAGAAAGTGTGGTTCAGCCTTTGTTCCTGGCCCCAGCCTTAGGCCACATGGACAGATGCCTACTGGAGAGAGACACTCTGTGTGTGATGGACACAGCAGAGGCTTCAGTCGTGGCACAAACCTTGTTCTGCATTGGGCGATTCACAAACGTCTCATGTTTTCAGAATCAGTCACTGTGTAGCCTTTTGAATCTAGCTTCTTTGGTTTGTACAGATTCATCTTGATGTGTGTGCCAGTAGTTTGTCATTCTTTACTGCCCAGTAGCATCCATTGTACAGTGGAGGCAATTAGTTTACCCATTTCCCACTGAAGAGTATTTGGGTTGCTCTGTCTGGAGCAAGTATAAATAAAGCTGCAAGTATGAGTAAAGCTGCTGTAAGCATTTGGGACAGGCCATTTTGTTGATGTAATTTCTCCATTCTTTTGGGTCACAGAATGAGCTACATGGTAATCTTATGTTTAACTGCTTAAAGAGTTTAACTGGGAAGTTTGAGAAACACTGGTCTAGATCATCATGGCACAAGTACACTGCATTCTGACTCAAAGCTGAGACTGCCCAGAGGAATCTTTATTTAACCCACTTTTTTTTAAATAATTTTTTTGTAATATATTTTATTGATTTTACACAAAGAGGAATTGAGAGGGATAGAGTTAGAAATGTTGATGAGAGAGAAACATCGACCAGCTGCCTCTTGCACACCCCCCACTGGGGTTGTTCCCACAACCAAGGTACGTGCCCTTGACCGGAATCGAACCTGGGGACCCTTTAGTCCACAGGCCGATGCTCTATCCACTGAGCCAAACCTGTTTCGGCTAACCCACTCTTTTTTTTTTTTTTTTTAATAATTATTATTATATACTTTTATTGATTTCAGAGAGGAATGGAGAGGGAGCGAGAAACATCAATGATGAGAATCATTGATCAGCTGCCTCCTGTAGGCCCCCTGCTGGGGATTGAGCCCACAACCCAGTCATGTGCACTTGACTGTAATTGAACCTGCGACCCTTCAGTCAACAGGCCGATGCTCTATCCACTGAGCCAAACAAGCAAGGGTTGTCTAACCCATTCTTCATTCCCTCCAGGCCAAGTCTAATATGACCTCTTCAAGTCTCTTCCTCAATCTCTGTTCCCACCCTCCCTGTGTTACCTTTGGGAATTTGGGGTCATTTCTACATTAGACTTAACATTTGTCCTGGTATTTGCTTGACTTATTCCACCTGCTCATGTTAATAAAAATTCTTAAGCACAGAACCTCTTCCAAATGTGGGCTTGGCCAATCCCAGTGTTGGTTTTCTGTGTAGAATGGTCTGCAGGCCTTTTTTCTTGTGTGTTGGGCTTATTCTGTGGACTTTTCCCTCAGCTCTAAAATGGGGGGGAGGGGGAGAAAATACCTGCCCCACATAATGTATGTCCTTCAGGAAAAGTCTCCTACCCTTGGGCCCCATAGCACAACTCTCATACCCACATTGTATCACAGCTCTTGCTTTTTTTTTTTTTTTTTTTAGTTCACTTTCTACCTGGTTCTCATTATACCTGGAGTTATTTGTTGTCAGAGGATTTTCTTGGATACCGTTTTATCTCCAGATACAGATAGATGCTTCAGATATACTTGGGAAGGAAGAGAGGAAGAAGCAAGGAAGGAAAGAAGAAAAACTCATGAAATCACCTTGTCAGTTGAAGGCAGTGCATGAATGTGGAGCACTGATAGTGTCTTTTTGCTTGTTTTGTTGGTAAAGCACATGGATGAATTAGAGCAGCGGTCCCCGAACTTTTGGATCTCATGGATCTCAGTGGTCCACGGACCACTGGTTGGCAACCGCTGTTCCAAATGTTTCCTTAAACCCGTGGTCTCCAACCTTTCGAACCTCATGGACCACAGTGGTTGGGGACCACTGTCCTAGATGGCCCAAGTATTCCTCTCGTGCCTGGTGTGTAAGCATTGGTGCAGATAGGAAAGGCAAACATGACTCAGGAGAGAAGGTGACTGGACACAATTTTTAAAATATATTTTTATTTCAAAGAGGGAAAAATAGAAACATCAATGTTGAGAATCATAGATGGGCTGCCTCCTGCATGCCCAACACTGGAGACCGAGCCCACACCCAACATGTACCCTGACTTGGAGTGAAACCATGACTTCCTGGTTCATAGGTTGAACTGAGCAAGGCCTGTGGGCTGAGCACAATTTTTGACAGTGGGAGGGAGACAGAACCACATCACCAGCGGAAGGACTGCATTAAGAACTGGAAAGGTGAAGGGGTGGGGTAGGATGTGGCTGGGCCTTTGAGTTTTGGTCTCATCTGGGAGGTTCAACTAATGAGACCTGAGAAATTCATTTTTATTTTTTAATATATTGATTTTGTACAGAGAGGGAGAGAAGAGAGTTGGAAACATCGATGAGAGTCATCGATCAGCTGCCTCTTGCACACCCCCTACTGGGGATATGCCCGCAACCAAGGTACATGCCCTTGACCGGAATCGAACCTGGGACCTTTCAGTCCACAGGCCGACGCTCTATCCATTGAGCCAAACCGGTTTAGGCGAGGCCTGAGAAATTCAAGTGGTCACTTTGGAGAGTGGAAAACACCATCCCGGAGAAACATAACATTGCTGCAAAGTGCTAGTTTACATTTAAAGTGAAGCCAGCCAGTATGGCTGTCTGCAGTGGTAAAGATGGGGAGTGCTTACCTTCACCAAGTCGGGTTTTCTCTGGTGGAGAGGACAGAGAGGCAGCTGGAAAGAAGAGCAGAGACCACCTGACCATGTGTATGGGAGAAGTCAGAGGCTGGGTCACAGGGAAGGGACGAACTGCAGGACAGGACACGGAACTCAAACCAGGACATTTGAAATTGAGTTTTCAGCCCTCTGCAATTTCTTGTGGGTACAGGATCCAGGGTGTGGCCACAGGTTGAGTGGTGTGGGCTTCGGTGTCCTGTTGTGCAGATTAGAAAGTGCTGGAGGGCGTACCAGTAAAGATGAAGGTGAGCAATTAATTACCAAGAGCTAAGATGACAGAGCAAGAAAATATGTCAGACATGGAGGACGCGGACTGTCCCGATTAAAAAATTACAGGTGTAAAATAAAAATGTTAACTTCCTGGGCTGAAAGCCTTTTAAAAGAGTCTATTGAGCCATTTCTAGCAAGAAAAAGGAGACCGAGTCCGGATCGGTAGTCTAAATGTACTCCTGTACACACCCCCACGCCCCAGCGGCGGCAGGTGGAGAAGGCCTGCAGGTGAAGACAGGGTTCTGGGTCCAGGAGCTGACAGGCTCACCCAGGAAGTGGGGCAGAGATGCGTCCTTTGGAGAGAATCCGCACTGGGGGTAAGTGGGGGTGGGACGGTGAGGACGCGGGCTCGGGAGGACGCAGTCCCTGAAGGAGGCCAGGCTCGGGGAGGGTGGGGGCCGGGGCCGGAAAGGTCACGTGAGACGGAAGCACAGGTCCGAGGGCGCCGGGCTGCTCTCTACAGACAACCGCGGGAACTCTCCTGGACGCTCATCCCGCTCCTGCCCGGCGATCCGGCGGCTGGCACTTCCCGTAGGGCGGCGCGGAGGAGACCGACGACGAGGCTGAGCCGGGAGCGCGAACCGCGGCTCCGGACCCGCCCCCGCGCCGGCCTCGAGGGAGGAGCCGGCCTCCGGCGCTCCCGGTTCCCGACATGCCGCGCGCCGGCGCACGCGCACGCACAGGGGAGCGGCTGCAGCGCCCCCTGGCGGCAGGCGCGGGGCGGGGGCGGGGCAGGAGGCGGCGGGTTGCGCTGGTGACGGGAGGACGCGCGGCCGCGGGCGCTGGGCCGGTGGAGGCGGCGGCGGCGGCGGCGGCGGACTCGGACCGGGCGGCGGACGCGGGCCGGGCGGCGGCGACGGGGAGGCCGCGGGCTTCTCACGCGGCGCGCGGGCCGGGATGAGGGGCTGTGTCGGCGCGGCCCGCGCGCAGCCGGCAGGTGAGAGCGCGGGCGGTGGGCGGCGCGGCCGGGAAAATGGCGGAGAGGCCGGCGCCACGGCCCCCGCCGGGCCGCGCGAGGACCCGGGGCCGCGGCCATCGGGTGGTGGTGGGGACGGACGGCCGCCTTGGGCGCGGCAGGGCGGGGCGCGGAGGGCGAGGCCGGGGCCGCTCCGGACGGGGTGTGAGGGGGCGTGGGCGGGCGTGGGCGCCAGCCGGGGGGCGTGAGGCGCTGCGGCCCGGGGCGGGCGTCGGCGCGGCCTCCGGTGGCTGGCGGGCGGGTGCGGGGCCGCGGGTCGGCGCCCGCGGAGGCGGCCTCTGCCGCAGGGCGGGCCGGGCGCTTCGCCTTCGCTCCCAGGCGCCCCCGGAGCGGGATCCCCTCGGCCCCTCTCGGCTGCGGGAGCGGAGCGGGCGGAGGTGGAGCGTTTGGTGCCGAGGCGGCGGGCGCGGCGGGCGGTGGACATGGGTCGGGACGTTTTCATCCGCAGCCGGTGCGAGGCCGGTGCGAGGCCGCGGCAGCTGTGGGCGTGCGGCCCCCGCTCCCACCGGCAGCTGCTGCGGGCGCTGCGCTGCTTGGGCTGCACACATGCGGCGCCCCCTCCCCTCCCCTTCCCCCGCCATCTCTCCGTGCCGAGAGGCTCGCCAGACCTCCGGTGACCTCTGCAGAAACCTGCCGCCGCAGGGCTCGCGTTCCTCCCCCGGGGCGGACAATAGGGGGTTTGTCTTGGAAGCCGGTGCGGGGAACTGAACCCTGTGCGTCCTGGGCGCCTCTGCAAACAGCAGGTGGCTCCCGGGCCGCGGCGCTCCCTGCACAATGAGCGAGGTGTGCGGCTCCCGCCGGGGGAAGGGAAGGACATCCGATAGGCGGTGCGGCTGCAAAGCCGGGAGACTCATCCCTACGACGTCCCGGCCGGCGGCGGTGAGGCACAGGCCGACGCCGGCTCCCGGCCCGCACCGTGTCCGTCAGCTCTCAGGAGCTGGAGAAGAGGGCGGGTTCTGGAGTCAGACGCCTGCCTTTGTACTCAGTGCCTTTGGTCGCTCGTCTGTAAAATGGGAGCACCAGGCACAGGGTGGTGATGAGGACTCATCGAATCAAACACTGTAAAACGCCCTGTGCTTGCCGCATCGTCAGTGCTCACGGAAGTTAGGATGTCAGCACTGCCGAGATGCGGTTCCAGGTGCATTTGCTGTGGTCCCCGAGCCTCACCCTCCTAATTTTGTTTTCACATCAGTGGCTCCCGCTTCTTACAAGGCAACATTGGGCCCTATGTGGAGAAACAAGTCTTTTTTAAAAAGTGTATTTTTATTGATTTCAGAGAGGAAAGGAGCGGGAGGGAGAGATAGAAACATCAATAATGAGAAAGAATCATTGACTGGCTGCCTCCTGTAGGCCCCACACTGGGGATCAAGCCCGAAACCCAGGCCTGTGCTCTGACTGGGAATCAAACCTTGACCTCCTGGTTCATAGGTCGATGCTAAACCACTGAGCCACGCCTGGCAAGGAACAAGTCTTTATGAAGGTACACAAGGAGCAAGTCTTGTGTACTTAGATAACGTATACAGAACTGCTTTTAATATATTTTTAGAAAAAGAAAGCTTCTGAGGAGACACCTGGATACTCTCGTTCTTATTGCCCTTGGCAGTTGGTAGGATTGTTGTCAACAGAAATGAGATTCAGAGCAGTTTTTGGGTAATTTTCTGTTTTAGTTATGCCACCCAAGCCATAGCTGTTATACTTCACAGCGTTATCCTTGAAATAGAAGATAATTTTCTAACAAAGTTTAAGTAACAGTAAGGACAGGGCAATAGACAGTGAGAACTTGGATATACCAGTGCTGTAACATCCTATGTTGCTGAGCTGTTGGAGGAAATTAGACTTAACTTGCTTCAGGACAAAGTGGGAAATCTCCCAGGGAGATGATTCTTTCTCAGATCAAGGGAAAGTACCTCAGACTTACCCAGACACTATGCCTGTCTCCTCTATCGGTGTGATACTGCGGGAAGCCCTTCCCCTGAGGTAGTCTTTTGGCATTTGTGGGATTTATAATGAGAACATTTAATGTTCAGAACAAATGGTAACAAAACAGCTTTTGTGAGCAAATTTGAAAATATCTCAAGATAGATTTCAAAATGTCCATCCCATCCTTTTCTCATGCGTGCATGCTGGCGTGGACTGCCCTTGAACACTTTAATGACAGTGACTGTGTCTTGTTAGGCTTCTTTCAGGTTCTTAGTGCTTTTTTGGGGAGGGGGGGTGTAATCTGTGCTCATAGGGGGGCATCTAGCTTTGATCACAAGACCCCTTTGCTGAGCCTTTCCGCCAGCCCGTTGTCATGTGGTCATTTGTTGTGAGTCTTCACACGTTCCCTCCCCAAGTTAGCTCTGTGTGTCCTGTGCCAGCACAGCCCCTGCTCGCTGGGCAGGGAGACACCTCTGGCAGAACCGAGCGGGAGTGTCTGCCTGCTTCCAGGTCCCTGCTTCTCGACCTTCCTTGCTCCCGAGGTGGATCCACACTCCTCTGCTGCCTCCGGGACATGCTCACTGTGGCTTCCATCAGCCTGGGGCCTGCTTCCTGAGGCCCTGTCTGGCCCTGAGCCCCATCCTCTGGCACAGTGTTCCATCTTCCGGGGTGGACCTCCTCATCTGGGCCTACTGTCTGGCTCACTCCCGCTTCTGCTGGGCTCCCGTCTCTCTCGGGCTTTTGGGGACAGACATTTGCAGGGTTTTATATTTCCCTGGAACTTGAGTTTCTTAGCGGTGCCTGCCATCTTGTTCCTCAAAATGCGGTGGTGACATAAATAAAGTTTATCCTCATATGTCCGAGAGTTCTGATAATAGGAGTTGCTTCCCTGCTAAACTCAGAAACTTATACTCACCTTTGACACAGTTTGCATGTTGTGAAAAGAGCTTATTGGCCATTATTATGCTCCATCAGGTGGAATTTTTCTTTAAAAAAAAAAATATATTTTATTGATTTTTTACAGAGAGGAAGAGAGAAGGATAGAGAGTTAGAAACATCAATGAGAAAGTAACATCGATCAGCTGCCTCATGCACATCCCCCACCTGGGGATGTGACCGCAACCAAGGTACATGCCCTTGACCAGAATCGAGCCTGGTACCCCCAGTCCGCAGGCGGATGCTCTATCCACTGAGCCAAACCGGTCTCGGCAGGTGGAATTTTTCTTGGCTTAACATTTGGTGTGGATTTTTTCTACTTTTTTTTTTAAGTTTTCGGGAAAACTATATTATTGAGTTTAGGAATTTTTTCACTATTCTATAAAGTTTCCTAAGTATCATTAATTTGGTACTTTTTAACTGAACATCTAATCTGTGCTCAGTTAGTTGTGCGTAGGCTGTGGCACACTGTTCTTTGAAGAAGTTTGAAAAGGGCAAAGCCTATTAAGACTGTAAGCCCTTCAAACAGGTCTGTACACTAGAGCCACTGGCACTTCCCCTGCCTGTCTTTATAAATAAAGTTTTGTCGAAGCCTTCACTTTTTTTTGTCTGTGGGGTGGGTGCTTTGGCAGAACTGACTAGTTGAAACAGAAACTGGTGTCGGAACAAAGATAAGAGGGTGGGTTCTGAGTGTTTGTAGGGTTAGAAGGTTGTAAGGAATAAGAGGAAGTAAGGATTATAATGTGTGTCTTTGAATTCAGAGGAAAGACTTTAGATTGTAGCTCTCTAGCTAAGGGGGCAAGGCAAGTCCTGAAAAAATGGTTTGGGAACTTCCACCTGATGGTAGTGAGCAGGACTGGTTGGAGGAGGAAGAGGTTTGACTCAGGGATTTAACTGGACAGCTTTCTCCGCGGGAGGCTGAGGTGACAAATTATCCCAACATTTCAGTGGCTCACAACAGCAGATTTATTTCTTGCTCACATTTCATTTGCTTTTCTCTGGGAGTCCATTCTGGGTCTCGGGCCAGCCTTGTTTGGATCATGGTACCTTAGGGCAGCATGGCAGGAACCCTCTCTTCGGGCTTCAGCTGACAGCTCAGGTTCCATGGGCCAGAGCAGTCCTCTGCCCAGCCCACCAGGGACCGGGACAGCGCTTTCCCTCTTTCCGGGACTGGCAGGCAGGCCAGCCCCTGGCAGAACGAGGACATGCAACTCTCTTTTGGGGAAGGGCTGAGCAGATAGTTGGAGACAATATTGTGGACCTCTTCCTCCCATTGTACCCGGAGGAAACAAGCCTGTTCCATGCTCTGAGCCATCTCGGGGGGGTTGGGGGGAAGAGGAGGCGCCAGCCAGCCCTCCCTGCTCAGCCTGGGCACTGGAGCCAGCCTCCCCAGGCTCCTCAGATCCCCATTCTCCACGTCTGGCGTATGGTGCTTGGGGACCTTGGGGACTGGCATCAGCTTGGTGGCTCCCTGGAAGCTTGGCATCCTGGGCTCTCCCCTGACTGCTGCATCCATTGCTCCAGTGCTGCTCATTGCACCGCCCAGTACTTACCAACCTATCATCCCCCATCACCAGGGCCACTGCCAAGCAGGGGCTGTACCAAGTCCCGTGTGCACGCTGACCATGCCCCTGGGTGGGCCTCCTGCCCTCTGTCCTCCACAGCGCTGTGCAGGGGTGTGTGCAGAGCTGTGGTTCTCAGAGGCGGTTTGTCTGAGACATCTGGCATTGTCCTGACTGGCATCAGCTGGGTGAGCTGGATGCTCAGCATCCTGTGTGCACAGGAGGGCTCACGGCCTGTGTGCCGGCCAAGGAGCAGGCCCTGAGCCTGTCCTGGAGATCGCGCCCCGCCTTCCTGCTCCCGTGCTCTGCTCTCCAGCCAAGGGCACCAAGCCACGCCCTGCTTCTGTTCCTTCCTCCCCCTCAAAAAGCAAAGCTCAGGTGCCCCTTGAGCTCCTCTAACCCTCCTGGGGCTGGTCCTACCAGGAGCCCGTCTGTCCCTCCCTCAGCCCAGAAGTTCTCCTGCCTCCCAGGGCACCTGAGCTGGGCCTGTGGTCCCTGCACAGCTACTAGGCCTCTGTGCATGTGCTAAATAGATTAAAATTG